TAATATACTAAAAATATTTTATTTATATTAAACTTGCATGACATATTCACATATTTTTTATGAAAATAATTCTCAAGTTTTTTTTTAAAAAAAAAGAGAAGTTAAATAGGTTGATAATATATATGGAGATATAATTTCAATTAAAGCAATGAGATAAGAAGAAAAGAATTTGAAATAGGATCATATAAAACGCAAGCATTTTTCGCATGCGCAAATTTAAAAAATATATATAATAATAGAAAAGTTGTCATTTTAATTTTTTTAAAATGGATTCCATGATAAGCCGGTGTACTTTTTGATTAAAAGCAAGGGATAAACTCTTTTGTTTCTAAAGTAAAGTAGTTTTCTTTTAAAGTGACACCTATTTTGGTTTCAAACAAAATAGTTATTAACCAAACATTATTTTAGATAAAAGAAAAACCAACTAAAAACAGCTGTGCTTTAAAAGCACAGTAATACTAAACATGCATTATGTATGGAAAATAAAAAGGATTGCATTGAGTGATTCTATATTATAAAGAGAAAAATGTAATTTGAGTACGCAATTTTTTGTTTTTTATTCTTTGAATATCTCTAATTATCCGAGGCTGAAAAATGTTGATATGTTCAAAATGAATTGTTATATGATAATTTTAACTGACATGTGAAATAAGTAGGTTCTATTTGAACTAATTTAGGAGGAAAAAAAAAACCAATACTTGAGTGCGTGGTATTTGATTATTTTTCCTTTTAGGTGCCCAACGTTTGTTTGCTTTTTTTTTTTTTTAATTTGAGTTCCTTCAGTCACTTGAAACTGAAAAATGTTGATGTGATGGGAATCTACTAATGCACAATAAAAGTGAATCCCACTCAAATTTATTGAAAAAAATAAAATATATATTTATTGACAATATATATATATATATAACAAAATAGATATTAAGAATTAAGAAAAATCAAAATTAATTATTATTTACCGAATGAAATCATCAAGTTTGATGATAAATTTCTTAAAAAACTTTTAAAATATCATCATCGAAACATTTCTTTTGCCTAATTCAAGAGTTTTAACCTTCAATTGTTTAAACAATTCGAGTTCATTTGACTAACTATAAATGATTTTGATTTTTTTAATTCTTGCTAACTATTTTCATTTATAAAAGTTTTATAATTTTTTTCTCAATAAATCCAAGCGAGATCCATTTTTTATTACATGTCGATTAAAGACTATCATGTGTTAGTGGATTCCACATCAATATTTTTCAATCTCAAGTAATTGAAGAAAGTCAAATAAAAAAAAATTCAAACGTTGAGCATTCAAATAGATAGAATAAAAGGCTAGGGACTCAAATTACAGGTTTTTCTTTTTTCAAATAGGACCTATATTTACCACGTATTAGTTCATATCGTACACATTAACATTTTTTTTTAGTTTTAGGTAATTGTGAGCACTCAAACAAAAAATTAAAAAAAAAAAAAAACGTCAAAACTTAAGCATTGAAATAGAAAAATTTAAAGATTAAACACTCAAAAGAATATAAAAATTAAATATTAGACACTTAGATTTGGGGTTGCATTATGACATGCAATATATGTTAATATTATGGCACATATGTACAGAATGTCTTTGAAGGAATATGTACTGTTTTTCACATTATAATTAACATCATCTGGGACATTTGTCTGGTGTCCCAACTTTAATTACCAGATCTTCTAAAATTTGCATCAAATTAAAAGAAGACTAAATAGATCAAATATCTCTAACATTTTAATTTATTTAAAAAATTAATATTTTAATTTTTTATTTTGAGTTTGAGTTTGACCTTTTTTAAATTAATGTTTATGTAAAATTTAATTTATTTGATCATTTTTAACTGTCATCTCCATTCTAAGAAACTTATTCTTGGTATTCTGATGTGAATTTTGCACAGAAAAAAAAATCTATTTTGTAAAAAAAATTTAGAATTTTTCAAAATTAGAAAGCATATTTTTATTTTTATTGTTTGAACAATTAAAAATATAAAAATTCAGATAAAATAAAAAATAATCTAGAATGATTTCAAATTTTTTGAGGAATTTTATGTAAATCTTATTGAAAAATTTCTATCATGAAATAAAGCTGCAAAGTCATTACTTCATATTTTTTTTATAACATTCCTTGCATTCATATCCAAATTTCTTTCCTTTTTCTTCTGTTTTAATACACCATATTCATATCCAAGTTTTAAATTCGCAGGACTGTGGCTTGTGGCTTAGATAATAATAGGTAGCTTAAGCTGAAGAATTTAGTATTCTAAATTCCATACTTCTGATTTAGTTGTATTACTTTTGATATAGGAATGAGATCCGTTAATTATTATTATTTTTTTTTTAACAGAATATGGGGAGTATCATTATAACGTGGTTAGTAATGGTCATAAATATGACTTGAGCTAACACTCAACATCACATTTGTGCAACTAATAAATAGCAAATAATTGCATGTGATATGGGCTCCCCATAATTTATGAGTTGGATTAAATACTGAAGCACATGCATGGTACCTGATTGGTATGGTGATGAAAATTCACATGCCATGCATATAGTACTGCTTGCCCAAAATAAATAAAAAGAAAGAATATATGCTAAAATCCTTATTAAAGACAACCAATGTGATTAATGATAGATATTTTGTTTGATTAGTAAAATTGTTTGATGTTTTGTTATACTTTATAGTTTTAAAATTTCACTCACGGGTTTCAGCCACTATACTGAAACATGTACTTGAATGACATAAAAAAGAAGAAGAAATATTTCACTTACTGAAAATAAATTAATACCCTGCAGACTCTGGTTCAACATGTACTTGAATGACATAAAAAATGTGATTATGCAATAATGAATATGTTTCAGACTCTGAAGAAATTTGATGTGTTCCTTGTGAGAGGAAATTGCAAATATTATCCCTCAATAAAGTTTGAACATTTATTTTTTTCCTAACTTCACAGTGTATTGATAGCGAATGGAAAGGTTTGGCGACAGCAGCCATTGCCAATTTGCAGTAGAGACAACTCATAAGCATGGTTGCTGTACAGTCATCCAAGTAATTAAATAATTAAAATACATCAGAAAATGGTATAGAAGTATATTGCTAAATGCTAATCCGTATTTAATTAATTTCATGGTGGTAACTGCAAAAAGTGTTTGCTTTACCTGTTGACTGTATAAACCGTGGGCCACATGCAGGTAAAGAACCCCACCAACCGCGGGGCAGCGTTTAGGTCCAGGGAATCTAAAAAATGAACTAGTTGGTTAAAAAAATAATTTTATATTTAATTTTTGTATGTATAAAATTTTTTTGAATAGTTATGTTGCATTATATGTACGATCAATCAACGAACGATTGATCTGGAGCTCGAGGATAAAAACAAATTAGAGTAATTTAAGGTTAATTATTCTTTCAAACAAGAAGAGATTACGAGCTTTATTCCCAAAACTATGTTAATACCCTTTAGATAATATAGGTTTTTGTATTCTTGCAAATTGATGCACATGAGTAATTCCAAGTCTTGATGTTTTTTAATTTTGGGACGACCAATCGTTTGGATTCTCCTATTAAAAGAAGAATAAGAAGAGTTTTGGATTGTTTCCATCTAGCCAAGCTTAGTAAAAATACCAAATAGTTTGTAATTGTTATAAAATAAATATAAATAATAAGAGAATCGAAGGAAATGATGACAAGAAAATGAAAATACTATAATATGAATATAAGCGATAAGAACTTTAAAGTTTCTCATATTCTCTCAGAAAACTTGTACACCAACTAATGAACAATCAAACCTATTTATAGGTTTCAAATTTGAGAAGAGAATTTGAAAGGACTATGAATAATCAATTGTATCACCTTTTCAATTTCTCATATTGAATGATGAATTGAATCATATTAAGAATCATAAGTAATGGAGATATGAAAAGTAGATAAACATGATTATAGACATTCATTATTTCATAATAGTAATTAAATTGTGATTAGATTACAAAAAACAGTTATATTTACTTAGTAAAAATACAAATGATCTTATGAATCTATTGGCAATGACGAGAACGAGTAAATTAGAACTTCAATTCGATTTTTATAAGTTTAATTCATTCTAAAAAATTGGAATATCTGATATAGTTTTATTTTTAAGTTTATTGCTGTTTGATTTCTCTAGCTAATATATAAGAATGACAAGGGAGGTTTGATCCATCCTTCATCTCTACCTCCATGAAAGCCTACAAACCTCCCTTGTTTATAGGGATGGATCTCCAATGATGGTCTACATGATTTTTTTTCATTATCAATGTCATGAAAAAATTAAAAATTTTACATTCAAGAAACAAAATTAATCAAGATAAATTAAGACAAAACTACAAAAATTATTTTAGATATAGATTAAAAAAATTATAAATACAAGAAGTTATTATTTTCACATATGCATCAATAATTTATGAAAAGATAGATATAATCCACCAAGAAAAAAAGGGGATGGAAATCACATCCATTCAATCAAAACTACCCTAGATGGACCACAATAAAAGGGAAAAAAGTTTCCACACAGCAAAAGTAAAATAAATTTAAAAAAAAAAAAAAAAAAACAGATGAGCAAGGATTTAGTTTGGAAAGATAAAATAAAATAGTGGCGAAAAAGGAAAAGTCCAAAAAAGCATGTAACCTCCGGGTACCATTTGTCTCAACCACGGCCTTCCTCTACTGCACGTGGCCCCTTATTAAAAGCCACGTAATATTGATGATAGCAATTTAGATTTCCTTCCTTCCTTTCTTTCTTTCTAAATAGCTTCTCAGATCTGATGCACCCCATTACTCTCACACTACTTACGCACATACAATCACTATAGAACCAAACTCAGCTAGTGCTCAAGTTTTTCCTTTCTTTTCTTTTTACAATAAACCAAACTGAACTCTTTCTCTTAGCAGGGAAACACAACCCTATCTCTGACAAGTCTAGTTGTGTGCTTGCAGTCAAAAACCCAAGCTGATAATGGGGGAGGTCTTGAAACTTTACAAAAATGAATCTGTTTAATGTTTTAGTTTTGTTTTCCTGTTTCTTGATTTGGGTTCTTTTTTTCTTTTTTTTTTTTTTTTTTTTTTTTTTTTAGGAAGAGAAGAAACCAGCTGCAGAGGAGGTGAAAAAACAAGAGGAACCGAAGAAAGCAGAAGAAGAGAAGAAAGAAGAGAAGCCAGCTGAAAAACCAGCTGCAGAAGAGAAAAAAGATGGGAAGAAAGCAGAGGAAACAAAAGATGAATCACCTCCACCTCCTCAAGAAATTGTACTTAAAGTCTACATGCATTGTGAGGGTTGTGCCCGTAAGGTCCGCAGGTGCCTTAAGGACTTTGAAGGTCAGTGTCTTTAACGAACTGTTTTTCCTTTTTAACTAACAGCTCCATTTGTAATTAATGTGCTCTTATTCTTGCTTGACTTCTTTTTTTTTTTTTTGGCTAATAATTAAATTCAGGAGTTGAAGATGTAAGTACTGATTGCAAGACTAGTAAGGTGGTTGTGAAAGGAGAAAAAGCGGATCCATTGAAGGTTCTTGAAAGAATTCAAAGAAAGAGCCATAGGCAAGTGGAGCTTATATCTCCGATCCCAAAACCTCCATCAGAGGAGGAGAAGAAAGCTGAGGAGAAGGAGAAGCCTAAAGTTGAAGAGAAGAAAGAAGAGGTGTTTATTTACTACTACTACTAGTAGTAGTTTTTGTATTAATAGCTGTTTTGATTTGTTTTTGTTTACATTTTTGGTATGTAATTAATTTTTCTTGGTTGAGTGCAGCCTCCTGTGATCATAGTGGTGCTAAGGGTATACATGCACTGTGAAGCTTGTGCATTGGAAATCAAGAAACGGATACAGAGAATGAAAGGCATGACTATTTTTTTAAAAAAAAGTTCTTTGTTTTATTTTCTTTTAATTAATTAAAAAGTGCCTGTTTTTCTTCTTTTTGGGTCCCTTTGCTACATTTTTTTTTTTTTTTTGGTTCATGAAGTTGTGGTTTCATTCACACTTCAACTTTTGTTGGTTAGATTTATTGGTTACTCACACTTTTGCCCTTTTTGGGTTTTAGATAATTTCTCCATCACAAGAAAGAAAAAAATTACTAACAAGTCATGCTCTTTTTGCACCTTTTGAATCTTTTAAAGAAAGAGCATATTTCTTTATCAGTCCTTTAAAATCAACACATTCTTTTAGTTACTAAATATTATTGTACCAATTAGATTCCATTGAATTCTGTCCAATTGAAGTCAATTCAATTCCCCTATATCAAATGATTCAAATCCTACCAACCTCATATTAGAATTCTTGAAATTTTACATTTTTATGTGGGGCTAACTCTAATTTTTGGTATTAAATTTGGTATGTTATTATTTATAGGTGTAGAATCAGCTGAACCAGATCTTAAGAGCTCAGAGGTGACAGTGAAGGGAGTGTTTGACCCTCAAAAACTAGTTGAATATGTGTACAAGAGAACTGGCAAGCACGCAGTGATAGTTAAACAAGAGCCAGAGAAGAAAGAAGAAGAGAAAGGAAAAGAATCCAAAGAAGAGAAAAAAGGTGAAGAAGGTGACAAACAAAACAAAGGTGGTGGTGGTGGTGGTGAGCAAGGAGGGAACGAAGACAAGAAAGAAGGTGGTGACAGCGAGGCCAAAACAGAAGCTAAAGCAGCAGCAGCAGCAGAGGAGACTACAGAAGAGACCACAGTGGTGGAGCTCAGGAAAATGGATTTTTATAATTATTACCCACCAACAAGATATGAGTACTATGAACATGCACCCCCTCCTCAGATCTTCAGTGATGAGAACCCCAATGCATGTTCTGTTATGTAAAAAGCTCTGAAAATGAGGGGCAAGATGGGATTATAAACTAATAATATATAGCATAAATGGTTTTGAAAGCCTACTGTTTTGCCTTTACGTTCTTTACTACTGTACAGTTTGTTCTTATTTCTGGTATTAAATAAATTAATAGGTAGGTTTTCTTTCGTACTGTTTAAACAAGTGGGTGGAAATGTGAGGTGTTAAAATTTGGGAAATGATTGGGATATGGACCCAGATTTTGTTTCCTTCGGCACACTCATGTTGGTTGGTGGATTTTGCATTTCATCCACCAAAAATCATAAAAACGAGGAAGAAAGAAATTAATGGGAAGGAAAGGAAAGAAGAGGAGATTATGATCCTTTTTTTTTTTTTGTCGTTCCTTAATTAACAAAAGGATTCATTTTTTAAATTACAAGTGGACTGGTCCCTCTGGAATGAGGGGCCTTTTCATTAAAAGGGTAAATTGCACTTTCGATGTTACTTTTGAAATAAATGCTATTTTTTTTTGGATTCTCCTGAATATTTCAAGCTCAAAAGTCCCTCCAGAATAATTTCTTGCTGTTTAGCTAGCCATATAAAAGAAGGATAGTATTTTATATACAGAATGATTCGAGCTACTTACTTAAATGTCCGTAGCACATTTCCCTCGATTCACGCTTAGGTGAAATAAATGGTATCTTTTTGGGACAGTTTTTGTGCTATTTTTCAGACATGAAAGGTGAAAGGACAAGGATGAGCAAGATGGGTGTGATGCTTCGCATCTAACTATAGTGACTTGGGACAATAAAAAGAAATCAATATGGTGAAAAGATGGATATAAACTGTTTTTAATTGGATGCTAATTTCTTTTAATGTGTGAACTAATTAAATAAATTATTTTATAATAGTAAAATAAAAGTATAATTACGTAGGGTCTAAATTATTGAATGATTTGATCATGTGATATTGATGTGAAATGAGGGTGTTATTATTACTCCACAAAAACTATGAATCATCAACATTGCCCGTATTCTTAGTATCTAGTAATATCTCGTATTGAAATGATTATCTTTCAATAAAAAAATTATATTCTTATTTATTGAAAATCAAAAGTGAATTTTGTAAATAAAAATAAAAGTATCTATAAAAAAAGTGAATTTTTTAAGGTCTTATTTGTAAAATTATTTAAGACAAACTAGACCTTTTATCAATAGATAGAGCAAATATAATATAATATTTATATAAAGGACTAATTAATTTTGTTAACTCATATATGCATAATACTAAGAAAAAAAAACCCAAGTGTTTGGCTTTATGGCATGAATTTTTTTTTAAAAAAACTTTTCGAGTTCGAATTTAGATGTCAGTCAGGTAAATTTATATTCTTGAATGAACAAATTAACCCAACGTGAGGAAGGGTACTTAAGATCATTCGATGAAAAAACTTAATTTTGATTGACATATAAATTTGTTCAAAAATTTTCCCAACTGTAAAAACATATAACTTAGAAAAATAAAAATATACTCTCACATTACATTTACTAATTAACATCCAGGTAAATTACAAAGATATTACATAAGCAATCTTAAATAATTGCAGTGAAAAAATATACTCTCACGTTACACATATTTTTGTATTCATACCAGCCATTTTTTTATTCTTATGAATATGATAAGATTGCAGTGAAAAAAAAAGTAAATAATAATAAGAAACACAACAAAGATTTTTACATAAGCAAATGTTGTGTGACAAAAGAAATGTTCTTTTAAAACGAATTAAATACAGCGATACACAATGAACAAAACAGTAAAAATCTGACTAAACTAGTTATCAAAAGGAGGGGGAAACAAAAACACAACAAAGATTTTTACATAAGCAAATCTTGGCCTATTTCCATCACTCTTTTCTTTTCGTTTCCCATGGGATGAAGCAATCTAATTAATTTTGATAAAAGTTTTTGCTTGATTTAAATTTCCGATTGCATCTAGTTTTACCCGAAGAACTTTTTACCTTGATCTTGGAAATACCACTTTTAGAAGACCACAAACTCCCTCAAAATTTTAACCCTAATTAACTAATAAGTTTGATACAATAATTCATTGTAACTTGAAAACCGTTTTCCCCAGAACCTATAGAATCACGTAAATGATTTTGTTATTCCTCGAAACATACAAATGCAATCCCTACACAAAAAGTTTGGCCAAATGAAATGAAATTACGAATTACGTAATTAACTAGCCGATTATCCACATTACACTATGAGTTGGGTAGAATAAAATTATTTAAAATTTTATGATTTTTAATTAAAATATTGTATTAATTAATTTCTTCTTATTTTCATAAATTTTTTATTTTAAAAAATGATTTGTTCATCTTTATGCATTGATTATTAAATAAAAACTTGTAATAATTTAAAATAAAATATTAATCTAAATATAAAAAATACTTTAAAAATATATTTGTTAGATCGTATAAAATAAAATAAAACTATAATAATATATAGACTAGTATAAAAATAAGAAATAAAAAAATAAATTTTTATTCTTATTTAATGCCGACAAGAAGATTATTTTTTGAAAGAATATACATTTGATTTATATATACTTATTCATACAATAATCAATAATATTAGTATAAAAATTATATTTGAATCATTTAGTGATTCTTTTTTTAAAATAATTTCAATCATTTTATTTTGAAGAAATTACTTTTATAATATTAAACAAACTAATAACAAATGGTTGTTTTTATGTATGTAAATGAATAGTTATTTTTTTAATAAAATTGATAATTTAATATTTTTTATACATTATGATTATACTTAGTGAGTTGAGAGTATGTACCATAAGACAAAAAAATATAAAAATTTTTGAAATAAATTATCATAAATATATCACATATATTTCATCCTCGCCAGATTGCACGAGAAACAATATATATATATATATATATTGATCTCTCATGATTTTTTTTTTTTTTTTGGCAAAAATCCATAACAAAATAATAATAATAATAAATTATTGAAAAGAAAAAGCCAAACAAAAAATATAAAAGATAAAAACGAGATAGGGAGCAAGCACTTAGGCATGGTTCCAAACTTGAGTAGGCTAGCTCCCCGAAAATAAATAAATAAATAAAAATTGGACAACACATCGTCGACTCTCTAGGAAGTAGACGACATGTTGTCCAACGTAAAATTTTATAATACACAAGGAGTAACTAGTGGCATGTACAATAGTTACTCCTTGGGCTCATTTTGAGAAGAGAGATAGACACATAAAAAAAGAGAGAAATTACATCTATACCCACAAAAAGTGATAAGAAGATTTCCATGTACGCTCAAATTTTTTTATTTTCTCTCTCCTATTTTTTTCTCTCTTTTTGTGTGTCTATCTCTTTTCTCAAAGTAAATCCAAGGCGTAACTACCGTACATGCCACTAGTTACTCCTTGTGTATTATAAAATTTCTCGTTGTCCAACTACAATTTTCACCCAACTCTGTTTTATAAAAAAGTCAACAAAAAGTTGTATTTTTAGTTTTTGGTTTTTTCAAACTCAAATTCAATCTCAATTTTTTTTAAAAAAGACCTCAAAATCACAAAAATAATGTTAAAACCTTAAAACTCATTTTAATACATACAAAATAAACAAAAATTCAAATCAAATTAAAAAAACTCAAAATATTTTTGAATCTCAATGTACTTCTTCCAATCATTTCATGTCTTGTAACCATCACAAACAAATTCTACTTTGAAAACGAATAAATTGATTGTGAATTTGACCATAAAAGTAGAATGAGTCTCACTATCCCTGTCTCTCCTTCCTTCTCTCTTTTTGTTTCTCTTTCCTTTAAACATACTAGAAATCAAATTGTAATATAAATAAAATTCAAGATAAAAAAAAAATTATGAAAAAAAAGATTAAAATACAAAAATATCAATAAATAGTAAAAAATAAATAAATAAAATAGTAGAATTGATTATGAGTGATGTGCGCACATGGGTGTTGAGTTATAAGAAAACACACAGAAAATGCATATCCATTTATCATTTTGTTTTAGTGTTTTAGTTAATGTAAAAATTCAGAAATGGCCAACAACTTATTCAAGACTAGAGGTCTAGAAGCCTAGGACATATAGGCCTCCAATTTCAAAATATATATGGTTGTTTTCTTCCTCCTTTTTCTGCCTCTCATCCATTCTCATGCTTTTAGGTAACATGAAAAACACATTTTTTTAAACAAATAAATTAGCTGCTGAAAATATAAAACATGCAGGAATTTAGGGGAATTCAGAACTTTAGTCACGAAATGGTTTTGAGAACATGCTACATTGCCTCTCATCTTACATTGATATTCTTACAAGATCCAAATTAACTTTCAATAAAAAAAAATTATAGAGTTAATGACTTATTAAGTCTTTATATTATAAGATAATTCCCTAATTACTCATTATATCATTAATTAATCAATTTTAATGTACATTAAATATCTACTCTATTTTTATGATAAAATTTACAAGTTAAACTATTAAAATTAATCGCATAATTTTTATATAAAAATTGTCTATTTGACTAGTTCGTAAGAGCATTTTGAGAATAAGATTAATATATAAGAATAATTGGATAATTTTGATAGTTTGTTCTGAAAATTTTGATAAAATAATCGATAAAAAAACTTAATTAACATATATTTAAGGATTAAAGAGACTCGATTAAAAATTATAAATACAGATTGAAAAAAAAAATCTTATTATGTAAAGAAAAATTTCAACCATTAATCCAAAATTATGACATTTGAAGTTAAATTGTTGGCTAAACTTTATATGTCAGTTTTTAAGGATTCCGTCTTCCTATCCATAAACTTTTCTACTAGGCATTTCAAGTCAAGAATTCGTTGTTGGAATGTTGCAAATTGAAGAGTGTGAATTATGTTTCTCGTTTACGTGAGTTGTCAAGCAGTTCTGTCTTTGTATATTTATAATTGCCAGATACAAATTAAATAAAAGCAGTTGTGAAAGACCTAATCAAGT